CCACGCAACAACTCTGCTGTCAATACACGAATGCATTAATTTATAAACTAGTTTATCGTGTTGGACAACATCAAATGCCTTCGCAAAATCTATTATTACGGTATTCACCCTCCCACTATCTCAACTTCATCTGCTATATTCTGAAACAATGATACTATCTGACTCTCGCAAGAGAAATCATTCCTAAAACCATGCTGTCCCTGAAATAGTCGTTCTTTTTGTTCCCATTCTTGCCTAATGTAGCTAGTTATCAAATGTTCCATTAGTTTACATACAACTGATGTAAGACTTTCCGGTCTATAATTTGCTAAAAAGTTCTGTCACCATTCTTAATAATCGGAACAACAGTAGCTAGCTTCCAATCTTCGAGCGCGCTTGAATTGTTGATCTAAACATGAAATAATGTTCTTAGATACGGTAATAGTGCCTCTCCAGTGAGGTTAATTACGTCCGTTGAAGTGGCATCTGGGCCCGCGGCTTTTCATTTTTCATAGATTTAATTCGCTTTCGCAATGCATTTTCGTCTATGTTTAACGGATTTGGCACGGCCTCCCACGATATCTGAGTATGGTGAGATTTTGTTTTAAAAACGGAACTGAAGTAGACATTAAATCCGTTTGCTTTTTCCCTATCTTCTAATAGTAACCCGTTCTTGGTATCTCTAACGATAGGAATTTAATCTTTATTTCCTCTTCTTCTGCGAATCTATTTGTAAAACTCTGACCCATTATTTCCCTCACTGAAGAAAATATGCTTTAAAAATGTCTCCTGCGCAATTTTCTTGTCTCGATCTAATTCTTTTCAACAGTTACGAAAAAGTATCCTATGATTTTCACTGCGATGTCTATTAATGAAAGCTTTTCTGTTTTTCCTCTTCATACGTCGAATTTTCGCATTATAATATTCTGGATCAGATTTTATTTTTAAGTATTTGTGCGGCACAAACATTTGCAATGAATTATCTAGAATGCTCTTAAACGCGGTCCAAGTTTCCTCCACACCCCTTTCTATTCTCAGAAAACGATCGTACTGGTATCGCAGGTAGTGGTGAAGCCCCTTTGTGTCTGCCTTCTTGAACTGTCAGATTTGTGTACAGTTAGGAATTCTTTTATGTGAAATATTTATGTCTAAGTCGACTAACACAGCTTCGTGGCCGCTTATGCCATTAATGACGTCGCAAGACAAGAAAAGCTCTTACGGCCTTATTAAGTAAACATGTAGGAGTGCCTCCTGCCGATCAGTATGACCGCATCATTAACAAACACTGTGTGGGGAAAATGCTGACCGAGTCAATTGCTTTGAAATGAGTTGCAAACGATGTAGTGCCAAGTCGCTAAAACGAAAACATGTGGTATTAACTTTAGATAGCAAGTGTGAAATTTTAAAGCGTTTGGAAAAACGTATAAAGTTGACTCGGTACTTTGCGAAAGAAGTATTTACGCACTGAGAGAGTTTTAAGGGTTCTAATTGTTGGAATATTTACGTACATTTATATTAGATAAATTGTATTTACTGACATCTATATTATTACTATGTAACTAGTGATTGAATGTACATAAGTGTACGCACGATGCACATTGGTTTATTCGTGTCCTGAAGATTGAGCTGTATGGATGTAGCCTGCACACACATCAATAAACAGAGTTTGCAAGTCCATGTGTGGTTATTTTATTTAACACTAATAAAACACGACAAAATGCACAAGGGCTTTTTTCTTAGCTCGAGCACAGAAATATTTTGGCCGAGCTTGGAAATACATTGGGCCCGAGGGATTTCTGTGTAGTATGAGAGATATGTGTAATAAAGGGTATAAGAGAATATTCAATTCTTTCCATATTTCGCTCGTAATTCCTCTCGACTCAGGTTACTTCCGTAGCACATATCCACCTCCACGTATGTACTCGGCGCGACACCACGTGAACGAGCTCAGCCAACCGGCGCCGTCCCTGCCTCGCGGCAATGGGTTTAGGGGGTACGTGGGGTTAGCACGTAGACATCCCCATGCCATGTTCCGGTCTTCTCAACCTGAGAAGTGAATTTTCTCATCGCCACGATGCAACATATACTGGGACATTGCAAAGAAAACGTACCCTACAGTCTTGGCTCGGCCGGGAATCGTACCCGGGGCGGAGTAGTGGAAAGTGAGCACGCTGACCCAAAGCACGTATCCATATCGAACCCAATAACAAAACAACGTAACAGTAAAACAAGCATTTATATAATAATACAAGTTTTTTAAAACAAATTTACATATAACAAGTTAAATTCGCACAAAACGGTGTGATTCAACAGAACCTGTTTATAAATCATACCCTCAATCATACATTGTTCAACATTGAGATTAAATTTCAATGATATCAAATGCCTCGTTAAACATTCTAAAACAAATGACAGATATTGAGTAACGAAGGAGAAGGGGTTCAGTTATCCAATCAGAAGTTTCTGATGATGTCACAACAGAGTTGTGAAACCCATTCACTCTGACCATTATCTTTCTATCAGTGACTGACTCACGGTGTGAGTCAGTGCTAGTTGGAAGTAATCCTGTTCTGAGAAATGCGCAGCATAAAAGAGGGGGGCCAAGTACATTTTTTCGGGCTTCCCTGTCGCCCACTAGTCACTTTACTATTTAACGTTTTCATTTGCAAACTACTTATTTTAGTAGTATACACATAAAACTTACTACATTGATAATAATATAACTTGAATGTATGTATTTGGCATTTATGGGTTGACAGTCCAATTTTGCCGGCTAGATAACGGGTCTCCCATGCCAGGGCCAAGTTGAATTCCCATGCGTTAGGGGTAAGAGAGACATGTGTATTCCCTTCACCGTAACTAGCAAACTCCACCTACCTGAGCTTGTCTTCGTCACACAGCTACAGAAACCGAGACGATTTCAAAGGAAAGCTCCAAATCTATTTTTGCCCCGACCAGAAATGGAACCCGGGAGCGCACCACAGGATGCTGCCCACGAGCCACATGAGGGCTTAAATGATAAATTAATAAATACAATTGTTTTTATGTTGAACCATTTATTGGTTTGCCAAACAGATTGGAGAGCCTCGTTCCTAAATATATATCAGTTCCCTGAAATGTCAGCTCAAAAAAGGGGGGAAATGGTGAAATTATAATGTTTTCGGAAATAAAATGTGTTATTACGTTTCCTTTCGAAATGTTCAGCGGGGGCACGGCATCCTCCGCCCCCCTCCTTGGCGCAAGCCTGTTCTATCCTACCCCTTATTGACACTCACGTGTACTACACTACCACTCTTGTTGGAAGACATCTGGTGAGCTTAGAGCTTGTCCCGATTGGGGCGGTGCCACGCCGGTGGGAGATACCTGGTTGAGGGAAATCCCTGCAAGCCGACGTAGGTAGGCGCCGGATCTCGCCATCCGGATGGGAGGCCACCTCCCACGACAAAAGATGTATTACACATATGGGAATAATGACATTAGCAGTTGACATGCCCGGAATCACTAATGACCCAATCCGATACAGAGCTGGCCAAATTATTATTAGACTGGAATAACTGAATGAGACCAATTGTATTTGCGACGGTAGATCTTGACAATAATATGTGTGTAGAGGTTTCTAATGTTCTATAATCATGCCCTTAAATTCTTTCTTTCAATTTCAGTCATTTTGCCAGATATGAATGAGATTTTTATGCATGAACAAGTTTTTAAGGCCTTCTTCAATGAAGTTTCTTGTAACTAATGATTGGTAATATTATTGTTAATTATGAAAGGTAAGCTCCATGTAACTGAGTAAATACTAGTTTTGAATGTAATGTATTTATTTTTTAAATTTGTAATGTAATTTAATGTACTTAATCTGGTAACTATTTACCCATTGTCAACTGTATATATTTCTTTGTTATAGCCTGATTTTAAGGACAACAATATTCTCGAAACTGTTGAAAAATTAAACGTAATACTAAACGCGCATTTAATTGTTTTATTGATGTGTATTTAGATTTATTCAGCAAAAAAAGTAAAAACTGTATGTGACGTAGGGGGGGGGGAAAGATTATCTTGAGTTCCAGAACCCCTTCCCGGCATTTTAACTATACAAAGTTGAAAGATGAGTAAAAGTTTAACATAAATTTAAAAAAATTAAAATCGCAAGATTAGCAATATTTGAAAAGTAATAATTTTCGTTTCTGAGTTATAGAAAACTTATTTGCATCGGTACACGAATTGCAAGTATGATTTTTCTGCATTGCTAACAAAATAGCAAATCGCCCTTACCTCTACTCTTACCATTACAAGCAAAAGAGAGTTTAACAAAAGGTGCGCATCTACGTCCAGAAGCAAAACAAGGGGCCATGTCAGAATTTGCTCAACGGATCAAGTAAACTGAAGGAGAAAAAAAACACACCACCACTGATCGAGATGGGGGGGTGGGGTGCAGATACCACAATAGTTTAAAAGATCTGTTCCAAACTAAAGGGCCAAGGTATGAAAAATCATTAATTAATATATGAACAGACATGTGAATATTAACAATTTTACGTAATATGTGCTTGAAATACCGGAAATTTACAAATAAATAAAAAGTTTCCGCAACCACTCAAATATGATCTTTGGATAGAGCAAAAGGTGATTAAAAATGGGGCAAGAATAATTTTTGTTGAATTACCTTAATTTTCTAAAATCGCAAGAGCTGCAAATAATACCAGAAAACATGTAGTGTTTAGCATGTTTAGCACCACATAGTTCAGGAATACGTTTAATGTATGTAACAAGAATCTTTATTTATACATCTATTTACGTGATTACATTTACCTGCATTTTCTGGATATTTTCTTCAAACTTTATAAATATACACAAAATATTGAAAGTAAATATTTTGAAAATATGTAGTTTACATTTACAAACATTAATTATTTTATTCAAAAATGTTAGTAAACACTTTCTAAACGTTTACCGCCTTTATACGGTTCTCTCGAAACTAATATCGATACAGTTCGTCTTACTCTGATTGGTTACTGAACAACTGGAAGGGGAAAAGCCCACATGTTGCGACTGCGTTGTGAACGAGCGTGAACGAGGCTCTGCAAATTTGGGCGCGATATACGTAGAGACTGCTGACGAATTTTGTTATAGAGTTTGGTCAACGCTTATGAACGTGAGACAGGAAACGTGTGGTAGTGTCATCGCACATTTAGCATTAAATGACTAGTATGAGTGAGAAGGAACACCGAAGGCATCGTTCTTCTTTTGATTATGGCTATGAAACGAAGACACCGCTTGGGAAACGTCTGCACCATAGATCATTTTCTGAAAAGAGGGCATGCTCTCCTTCAAACAGTTTTAATGATGATTCTTATGCATCTATTGTAAAGAAGCGAAAAATTTCACCGCATGTATGGCACTATTAGTATCATTACTTCTTGTATTATTTTGTTCTGTACCAGGACTTCAATAGTGTTTATTTTTCAGCCTTTATTGGACGGCTATCAGCTAGTAGGAGACAGCCTATTACTACGGTTCGCCGAACAAGTTCTCTTTGAGAGATGTATTTATGGTTTGTATATTTTAAAATTGCATTGAGTTTTTTGGAGTTACTAGATTATGTATCAAAAAGAGCTGTGAAAAAGGGTTGCTTAGCTTGTGTATGTACGATTTGGAACTGGGGGAGTAATTAATTTAAATTTGATTGATCAAAACGTAAGTGAACTTCATTGAGAATTAAGTGACAGCAGTAAATCTGTAACATATTATTTGAAAATATGAGCTGATTAAAAAGATTTTTTGACCTATTACTCTGTTGTTTTTTTCTCAATATAATATATATTTAGTTTGTTTTCTTGTAAAGATAGAAGGTATATGCTTCATGTGATTTGGAACAAAATTGTTGGAATGTTAACAGAATAATATTATTTGATATAATTTCAAATTAAGAAAATAATTTATAACTCTGTGCAGATAATGGAATGCGGTATCTAGGTTTATGTGTGAGTGGCCAAACAATTGAAGAATTAAAGGAGCGTGTAGAAAACAAATTTTCTCCAGTTGGAGAAAAAATCATTCTTTTGATTGGAACTAATAATATTTTGCAGGTTTGTGAATAAACTTAATGAAGACTTGAATGAACTATTTTTAAGAATTATCTACAATGTTTTCTTTATTTTCTTTTCAGGGTGCTTCTGCAGATGATATGATAGATTCATTGGTAGAATTATTGGATCTTCTTGATGAGAGAGCCAAGAGAATAGTTATATTGACTTTACCTCCAATTCCAAAGTTAGAGAACGATGGGAGGTTTTGGTATAAATTTAATAGCTACAATGGTTTCATCAAAACTTTAGGTATTAAACGTGAAAATGTCACTGTCGAAGATATTTCTAAACTTTTCCTGGAGGAAGATGATTATTGCAATATGAGCTATTTTGAAAGGTTAGTTGTTTGAGTATCCTTCATTTGCACAATATATACAAATTAATGATTAACCTGAGAAATATTTAGGTTGTTTTAGTTGCTATAATGTTCCTTTTTTGAAATTAATCTCCCTTTTAAATATGCTACAGTGCACTTTTGCTTTACTACTAAGTAGCAACAAAATTTTAATGTAATGATGCAGAAAAGAACCAGGTTTTAGACAACAGTTTTGTGGGTCCCTGATCACCAAAAAAGTAGATTTTTCTTTAGTCTGTCAATTGTGTAGTCAAAAATCCAAGTATTAGTCTTCTCATACTTGCATGTCCAAAATCAGTCTGCCCCTTTGTGAACACTAGCATCTAAATCCACAGAATTTTAATCAAAATGATATTTTTCAATCAATCAGTGATGTTGCAATCCCTTAAATTTGAAAGGGACCTTTCAGTTTTTTTAGAGTACCGTAGGACCTTTTTCAAAAAATTTCCCAAGGGCTCTCTTTAAATTGGGGGAATTGAGCGTAGTAAGCTTATAAAAATGTAGTTCCAATTTTCAATAGAACTGAGTTTTAAAAAAAGATGTTTGTTTCAATGTCCTCCTAAAATGACATAATTGAATGTACTAAATTCGCCCAGGCAAATACTTTTGATGGTTGGAGACAGTTTGTTGGTTAAATTAAAATGACAAATTATGTAAGTGTTACAAATAACATGAGACATAGTGCCATTTTAGTTACAACAGCACTTGTTTTATATGATAAATTGATTAATTTCTCTTTTATAAGAAAATATTTATATAATTTCTACCTATTTACTGTGTAACATCTTGTATTTGTTTAATTTTTAATATTATCGAAAAATAACTTGACATGGCTTCTCACAGAAATTTTTGATGGCTTGAAATTTTACTTGATCTCCAATTTATTACTCCAAATTAAATTGATCCGTATATCAAGGTGGAGAGGTGTAACCAGGCATGAAAATTTTGAAGTAGAATTCTACAGATATACTGAGATTAAAATTTCTCAGCAATTGAAGACTGATTGCTTATACACACTTGCAAAGGTAGAGAAATTTTAATCAGCATATACTGTGATGTTAATTCCTTGAATACCATCCAACATCCCCAAACCTGTATTATTTAAAAATGTCATGTTTAACACACATACTTTTAAGAGAAGTAATGTGGCATGACTAATCAGTGTGTGCTGAAATGTTCCTGAGCACAACCACTCCAGTAATTGGTGCTGCATCTTTGATCATAAGGAGGTTCCTCTTTTGAGTTTCTGCTACAATGTGCACACAGAAAATATTCTTACAGAGAATTATATGTGGAATGGCAGAACAGTAGTTTGAATATTTATTTTCTATAGAAATGTATAGTATGTCTGATTTCATTAATTTCTGTCAGTGCTGCAGCACTGCTCACATAAGTCCCCCAAGAAACAAAACAAAATAACAATATCTGAGCTTTATATCACCTGAGAAACCTCTTCAGAATATTTTCCATTGAACCATTCCATTGGATAGCTACATTTTGAAAATTGAAGTCTTGTGTGAGCTCCTCACTAGATATAGTTAACTACTGCATTAGGAGAAATTTAAAGTGTACATTTTATAGTGGATATGTGTTGAGACGGACTTTCACTTATATTAATGAAGTTATGCGATTGCCTAAAACACTGTTAAGCGAAGGAAAAAAATAACCTTTTTCCAATGATTTACATCATTGTAAGTAGTCACTTCATTGATGGACAATATGGACAAATATCAGTCAAATATCGAAGAAAGGGATAAGCAATTCATTACTTCTTGTACGTCCATACTGTTACATTTTTTACTGATTACCAGCATTAAGAGTTACATACACAAATCTTATAAAGAATGGACTAATAAGATCAGAGCAGTTGCCGTAAAATTGATATGCCATGTAGCAGCTCCTTGTGTATTATTTTTCCTATAAATATTCATGCACAATTAAAATGAATTGGAAAAAAACTTGTCTTTGAGAGATATATCGTGTGATCTTGAACTATTTCAGATGGTACGACAGATTGCAGCGACGACCTGATTTAATTCATTTAAACAGGGCTGGACTATTAAAAATTAAAACTCACTTATTGAAGAAAAATGTGCTAAGTGAGGAGGAATCTTAGAAGAATCTCTTGTACTTAAGCCAGTACCAATAATTCTCTGTAAAGAACTATTTGCATTGAAATTGCCAAGATAGGCACCTTATTTTAGTTGAGATAATTTTTACAGTGTATTGTAAAATTTTATGAGATTAGTTTATTAACCGCTAGTGGGGAAATTGCACCCCTCATATGTAACATACTTTGATTAAGTTTTTTGTAATGTTTATTTTGACAATTACAACGTTGACAAACAAAAAATAAATACGTAAAATAACTATTTTTTCTCCACCGCTTTGTCTTCCTCCAACTCAAATGCTTCTCCAGGCAACTTGTTCATCTTTAGGAGCTCTGTGAAAACCACAAGTGCCCATTTGATGTCCCACTTGGACTGTTCCAGGCACCTGGGAAAGGAGGGGAAACCATGAGAAAGTCTTGCTTACATGTATTACTCGCGCAACTTTTCTTGAACAATGACCTTGATCCCTCGTCCTTTTGCAATAAACGAGTTGAAGGCAAAGCTTCGCAGCGGGCATGTGTGAGCAAACCCTCCAAGCCATTAAAAACTTGTTGGCGCGAAGACAGAAGATAGTCAAAACCAGATCTGCTTTCATAGTGCAGAACCCCTGTTCAGCCGCTTTTTTTGTCAATACTCGAAAGAAAATGGCTGAGTCAGGTCCAGGTACTTCAGGGAGTCACCTAAGACCCAAAAAAGTTAAGCAAAGATGCAGTTTGATTGCTTACATTTCCACACACCCCGTTGGCCATTACTTAATACCATACCTCTAGTGGCTGACTTTGTAAACTAATACCCCCACTCCACCCGAAATCGTCAATCCATCGTTCAAGAAAAGTTGCCCGAGTAATACCATTTTGTTCGAGAATAAAGTTCCTTCGCGAGCTTCTGTATGCACACACATGCAAATAATACTGCTCTCCAACTGGAATATACCTTGGTGCTCCTACGAGAAGCTCAAGAGCATGTGACTGATTTGAGAAATATTGGTTGTAATGGTAATAGAAAATACTTGAAATGAATTCCATGCTCCTCTCTTCCCCCTGAACATTTTTTTAATTGGCATCTTAAAAACAGCGTGTACCTTTTGCTATGGAAGGCTAATTTTTTCAGAAAGCAAACTACAATGAATGGCTTCCCTTAATGAATTGACATGTTTGCCATTTTGACACTATCAGGAATAATAGCAATATTCTATGTAGAGTAATTGCCTATAACACAATTTATTTAGATGTGCCCTTGAAAATCAGCTGCTGCGGTTTCATCCAATTAAGAGCTTTTACTACGTCGCTAGTGACGTCACAGCTGATTTATGTCAAGTGCACGGTTAAATAAATCCTAGTAGAAGAATTATGTGATTTCTTGGCTTATATTTAAATTACTGAGTTAATTACCAAAACTAGTTAGAAAATAAATTTACTACATCTTTTTGCATTTTTCAAATGTCACAGTTCCATTGCAATGCATTTTCCAGAACCAATAATGAAGTTATTAATCTTTTCCAAACTTGTGGATTATTAAATTAAATTTTACTTACTTTTGTGCCCACTGTTGATTCATCTCTGTCAATCGTGACAATATCCTTGTCATCTGTTTCCGATCAGCGTCAGTTAAATCTTGAGCAGGATTGAAAGACAGTTTCGCCAATGAAACCTTTGGTTTGGGGTACTGGAATGACTCCTATAAAATAAAATTGAAATTTTGCCACAGGTTTCAATTTTGTCAAAGGAATGGAAATACTTTGGTTCTAACGAGTATGAGACAGATCATTAGGGACAGATTGCAATCCAAATGCTTATTTTCCTTTTGTAGTCAGTATGTATGCTCACTTGAACATGAAACACCCAATTTCCAACTATTTTAACACAATTTGAGAATGCACGTTTTGCCCGTTTTCTTAATAACACAATTTAATGAACTTCATTAACTGGTTAATGAACTGGTCAATTCAATGAACCTTTCATGCCTACAATTGAATGACAATATTGAGATCTCACAGAAGTAAGTCTTAAATATATGCTGAAATTTAGTTTTTCTTCTCATTTTTAATTAAAATTAATGTAGAAAGCAGTATGTTCATGCACTGTAAACAATCTTGATATTATGTTAAAATTTCTTTGGTGAACTTTAGGGGTTTCTCTGTACTTCCTAATAAATTAGCATAAATTATCAAACAAATCATTGCTGATATTGTACCACAGGGACAAAAATTAAACAAATTAAATTTTCTATTCTGTTTTGCATTACTCTACTCATGATTCGTTCTTAGATCCATGTTGGCCAACTGTATATGTCAGAGTAAAAGTTCTGGATGATTTTATCTGGTTGGATGCATTGAAATTGCTTCGGTCATGTACTTTTCTCTTTTACAGCCACATAATTGATTCAATGAAAAAGCAAGACGGAATATCAATTATTCTTTCAGTTTGAAACCTGTGTAGCCAGGTTAGGACTTTCCCCCTAAATTTAATGTCTTTGGAGGATGTTTTAGGGAGCAAAGTTATTTACAGGTTTTTGTTGAATTTTTAAAAAGGTTTTTAAATTTTTTTAAAAGTATCACAAAGCACTAAAATAGCTACCTACGATTATTGCAGGTATATGATTCAAATATAACTAAGTATAGTAAAAACACTTATAGGCATGGGTGTTTGTCTCAAAATATCAAATTAACTTCATCAATTAACATTGAACAAAAAAGTTCAACAATGAAGACATGCGGGTCACAATATGTTGACCTGAATAAGTGTTGTTGATTTAATATCTCAAATAAGAATGGATGGCTAATTGTATATTGCGGACTCGATTGGTTTCATTGTTTTGTTCTTATAAAAATATACCGTATGTTCCTACAAGATCGTGATTTTAAGTAAAACACATAATATATGAATTAAAGTTTATAACTTTTATCAATAGTTTTTAATTTACTAAGCCTTTTTTAAAATGGTATGTAATCTGTTTAGTATTTTAAATAGTTTGGTGGTTTATTTAAAATTTTAGTGGGTTTTACCACGGTATCTGGTTGGAGGCATGTGGCAACATGCTTCCACTTGAAAATGCTTAATACTATACTCTTTTTCTTCTAATGATATATGTACAAGAGTATAATGTGTAAATCCAAAAGGTTCAACAAGAAATTCAGTGACTGAAGAATTCATTCTTCAACGATTGGAAGAGCCAAAGTCACATAGACAGAAGACAGACTTGGAAGAACAATGCAAAATTCAGAAATTACGAAGTCAAAGAACCAAATTACTAAACAAGTGCACAACTAAAAGTATGAAACAACTCACCTCTGCTTGTTTTGTTGAAGCATTGGACACTGTTAGCATCTCATTTACAATTTGATATTCTTTACTGGCAACTTTGTGCAAGACAAATGTCCGACTGAAGGCCCTTATCAAATTTTCATTCATCATGGAAGGTTCTCGGAATACTCCTGACACAACAATCACTGCTGTTTCTTGCTGCAATAATAATGTATCATTATAGTAAATATTTCGTAGATGCTGAACATATATTTAGAAATTCAAACATCACACCTCTGCAAGACCTTAACTATCTTTATACCCAATTTAGTTTTCTGTACAGTGGAACCTGTATTAAGCCACCACTGTTATCTCATACAAAAAATGGAAAATGTTGTATTATTTGTACACCAGATGTTTAAAAAATTGCCTAATATCGTGCGTTAATGAAAAGTTTTTAGTATATGAGCATGAATTATGGTAAATGAAACACATAGACGAAGTTTTATATTACCTTTTTGACATGAATGACTTTTTAGAATTTTATACTCTCTTCTTAAATGTTATGAACTTTTATTTCATTTTAAATTTCCTTCTTTTGGGAAAAAATTAACATGTAAATCATTTTCAGTTTTAGTACTCCCAATAGATAAGTATTGGTAAGAAATCTCCAATTTCCCAAGTGTGTGTGGGAACTAGGAAGACAAGGATTGTGTTGATAAAGGGACATGTTGAAAACCCGGAATTCTGACAATAATTTTCTACTGCATCGGTTGTTTTCCTAGTAAGGTAAAGAGGGCTCTTCAACTGGTTTAATTCAATGAATTGAACAAAGGGTCACATTCATATGTGTCAAAGGAAGTGAAACTGAAATGGAGCGAGCAACCATATTAGTGGTCATGGTTTATTGTTACTCGATTCCTGGATCTCCTCACTCCCAATTTCCTTGTGATTGAAGCTGGGGTTGCCACACATATGTTTTTATAATGTCACCAATTTTCATTTCACTACAGAATATTCGGTACACTGACAAATTTTCCTGAATGATGTCTCTTTTAAGAGGTAAATTAAGAAAATTGCTTTCAAGGAGCTGATCATGGTTGCGGTCTGTTAAAAGGGATATAATTTACATACAGTACACAGGTTTCAGTTTTCATTTCAAGAAAAATCGGTTGTTGAGGAGGGTGGTCTTACAGTTAGGTTTCACTGTATTTATCTGTGTGATCAAATTCTAATTTCTGAACAGAAGTTTAAAGAGAACACGTTACGCAACTTTTTACCATGCATTTCAGACATGGTGATGCAGATGTCATTCTTGTTGCAGCCAAAAGGCGTGAGGCAAAAGGCAGATATTACATTGTGGAGTACAAAGAAGTTTGATCCTAAAAGTTTCAGAATCTCCCACTACTGTCTTGGGTAATGCGGTCAGCCATGTCGCTGATCTCAACACTTCCCAGCTGATGAGACAAATTATCCATTGGTCAAGGTGTTTTAAACAAAATACCCTGTTGGCAAACACTAGCAAACATATTCTTTGGCTTACGCCTACGTTATCTTTTGCTTATACTGTTTCGACTTCAATTCGTCTCATCAGCTTGGGAAGTGTTGAGATCAGCGACATGGCTGACGCATACCCAAAGACAGATAGTGGAGAGATGTCTGGAAGACTTTTAGGATCAAACTTTGTACTGCACACGAGTAAAACGCCTTTTGGCCTTTGGCTGCCAACATATTTTGAAGCACATTCATTACAATCCAATTCGCTTCCAGGCTTTTCGCCTTGCTGAAGAGAACCGAATAGTTCGAAAAGTCTAGCAAAACTGGGTCTTTCGATTTCCCTTTTGCAGTGACCGCCATTTGGATCAAGTTTATCCCAAGACCTTGGGTAACCCTACCAAAACTCAAAATTCTCGCAGTGGTATTTCGGATCATGGTCAACAGGGTGTTAAACAAGATACCCTTTGCAAACACTAGCAACATATTCTCTTGATTTTCGGCCTTACGTTATCTTTGCGTATACTGTTGACTTCAATTCGTCTCATCAGCTTGGGAAGTGTTGAGATCAACGACATGGCTGACCGCATACCCAAGGACAGTAGTGGGGAGATTCTGGAAACTTTTAGGATCAGGAGGATCATTTTAGGATCTTTCTTTCAAATTTTTAATTTTAATCAAATACAAAATCAATAAATGATTGGTGGGCTAACATACTTAAAAGCACTTGCCAACTAGAATACAAAACCTATTTGGGTAAAACTGTTCAGTACTCACTGTGTAATAGGGCAAATCCACAGCAAAAGAGTATGGATCATGCTCTGTTCGAGGAAGACGACAGAGTGCAGACAACACTTCCTCGGCTCCTTGACTGAGCAACTGCTGACTTTTGGAATAATCTGAAAGACGGAGAAGATTGCGGCTCTCCAGTGTGTATCGTGTTAATCTACAACACAAATATAATGAAACTTGTTAATATTTTTTAACTGAAATACACCATTTACAGATACTACTTATTAAATATTTGACTGTATATACAGATACAACTTGTAAAATAGTTTAAAAACTTAAATGTAACACAACATAATAAAATAGTACAGGTAATAGTAAGGAAATTTAACAAGCGATGTCCAAAGAAGTGAGCAAACTAACAAAACTCATGTGCGAGCCATTTTCATAATGTCGTCAACACTGAAGGATCAATTTCTCCACGCAAAAATAATGCATTTTATAGTTAGCTTATCAGTACATTTTACAACAGATAAGTGTGTGGCTGCATCATCCATATTTTGAATGATTGGGTATGGTTTTGAAGGGAGTGATTAAGAAAACAATTACATATCGCACCTCCAATACAAAAGTGATATAAGTGCGAATTTCTGATTTCTCATAAATTGCAAATTTAAGTTTCGTAGTTCTGTAATACTCATTATAGATTATACCAAATATTCACCTAGCGGAGAGTAAATGAACTAATTCAAAATCAACTTCAGAATTGTAGCAGAACCTCTTGGTAACCTCTTATCAGCTTTTAGCTGAAAAATGACGATTTCACTTTTCTATTGGAGGTGGGATATTCTTCTGAAAATTAATTAATGATTCTGTTTTTAAAGTTCATCCTCTGAATGTGTGAAATAGGATTATTTGGGCAATCTGAAGTGCATTGAAGTGTTGGACTCTGATGCCAGGGGGAAGGGCAGGATGATGCAGAATAGGAAGGGTGAAGTGAGGTGGTATTACTTCCATCTTCAATTCCATTAGTATGCCCTATTTTCCACGGTGAAGCCCAGACAATGCAAATTCCGCTACAATTCATTCACTGTTTTAAAAAAAAAAAAGAAGAAGAAAGGAGGGTATCACTTGGTTCATGAAACACACATTTAGAATTCTGCTCAGAGACTTCTTTCAGGCTTGAGAAAATTTCTACAAGCAGTAAATCTACTACATGGGACATCTGACTTTACTTCTCTTCTGAAGGGACGTGCACAAAAGGTTTTTCCACCTTCAAAATCCACAGCTTCAATCAGGTTTAAACCCACCAGCTTGGGCATAACAGCCTACAGACATACTAACTGTTACACCATCGATGCTACGCCTGAAGTCATTTTACACACTGATAGAATATATTTCTTTTCCAGCCTAATAGATGATTGCGCAAAATCAATATTGTAGAAACAACAGGTTACTTTTAAGAAGAATTACCAACCTTGCTGTACTGGAGGTACTCTGGCCTGGGACGTAGTTGCAAGTGAGAGAGAACAGGGCATCTGGATGGTACATGCCTCTCAGTCTTTGCCGATCATCACCGTCCAATAAGGTGAAATAGTGCTGCAAGAACTGGTCCACCAAAGCTATGCATTCAGGCTGTCCAGGGGGCACATAGTTGCGACGCCACACAGGCAGTTCAGGTCGAGTCAGGTACACACCATCCTAATAACAGAAAGAGATTACCGCATTCACAAAACCTGCTTGCCATAGACGTCTGTGTGGGAACGGAATGTTGTGTGAATTGATTGACTGATTATTTCATGCATTTCACTTGTATGGTCATTAGTCCCGTAAAGTGTAGTGCATGTTTTTATCAGAGTGGGTGGGAGTGCTCTTCCCTCTGGATGGTGAGATCTGGCTCCGATCTGCATATTGGCTTGCAGGGTTTTCCACTGACAAAGACACTGCCCCAGCCTTGACAAGCTCTAAGCTCCCAACTTGCCCCCTACATGCAGGATAAAACTTTATGGATTCCACACAAGTGTTAACTACTTGTTCTTATTCTCTAAAGTGTAGTGTATGTTAGAGCCTCTGACTTTTCCTGTGGATAATAGAAATCAAAGATCTGTTTACAGATCACTTAACATAACTTTACAACCTGAGGAAGTTCTCATTGTATTAGTGTTAATTAATGTGAAAATTGAATGACGTGAAAATTTTAAAAATTAAAATGAAAGCTTTTTAAAGAAGACTCTTTTACATTTGTTCTAACCTTGTTAAATATCATGTTTTTACTCTTTTGTGTTTTATACCACCAGTTACTGAATATAAGTGAATTTACTAAATATAAGTGTTCAATGCTAAGGAAGCTGAACTTCAAGCAAAATTCTGAAAGAACTCATAGAGACTCTTTGAAGTGTTTAAAATATAATGAGTTACACTAATCTATTAATAACATTATTTTCTGTCAAAAACAACTACTACTGAAAAAGTGGAAAAAACTTGTTTCTTTCATCCTACAGGGCAAAGAAAGGGATAAATACCCCCTCCTCCTCCAGCCATTTTCGCTTTCTTTTCTTGCAGCCCTCTTTGTTACCTTTCATTTCCCTGGTGTAATTCCCATTTTCTCTTAAGTTTAGCGGTATTGATTGCATTTATCAATATGAAAATGTGATTAGAAATTAAAAGATCATTAAAGACAGTGATATTTTTCCTTTGATCATAATGATGTAATAGGAAGGCAAAATTTATAGTTACAGAAAAGAAAAAAAGAATAAATAAATAAATTCAATAAAAAAATTAAAAAAGGAGGGGGAAAAAAAGGAAGAGAGAAAAGTTCCCATGAGGCCTTTTCCAAATTGGGGGTTTGGTAAGCACATTTGACAGAGAAAGGAAGGATATATGCTACAGCAAACAACAACATACAAACACCATCATTATCAGCAGTATCAATAAAAAGAAATTTGAAACTTACAATCTTCTTAATTGTAGGCACCATTTCTTTAATGGCTCTGAAACAAAAAGTACTGTAATTACTTCCAAATGGTTTACACACATATGAATTATGTTAATATTTTAATATACCTTGGTTTGATTACTTATTTAATTCTTAACACAAGCAAAATGATACTCATAAATATTAGCTTTCAGTAAAGTATTCCATAACAAAAAAATTAATATACTTTCTGCTAGGGATTACTTACTGAATATAAGAACGTTCATCATGATATTGAGCACAAACTGGGTTGCGATCAAGAGAGATTTCTAATAGGTTCAAACCATTGAAAGTTTTCAGAACATTCATATTTGAAATCTGAAAATCAAAATAATAAAAATTAAAGCAATAGCAAACAAGTTTCCTCCCCAAACATTTATTTATTTATTAAACATACAGATATATGAATGGTTGTAACACCTCTAAAATATGACAATGAAAACAATATAATATAAACAAATTATACAACAATATTAAATTCAACTAAATGGAGAAAATTAATTGGTGAAAATTGGTAACTCATATTAATTATATTTTTAATTTGTAATTCTGAAATTTCATGCTTTAACTGAAAAAGTACACAAATGTTGATTGACGGATTTAAAAGATAGATAATTATTTGACAATCTTGGGAATTGTTAACTGTTCAAGAGTCAAAACAATTGAACTTAAAAACTGAAGACATAACTGTAACATTTTATCAAGCAACATATACAATTAATACAGTTCAGACAAATTCATTGCAGTGGTGTTCAACCTTGTACTGTTCTGCCGTAAGACATATTGGTTTAAGCTTTTTCTACCAAATGTTTTAACCTGATTTGAGTCCAAGAAATAAACTACTACTGAAGTTGAAAACATTGAACAAACATCTTCAAAATTACAACAACACAACACCCACCTTATTTGAAGAAAGATCCACTACTTCCAGTTTTGAAAGAATGATAAATTTAGGAAGTTCAGTTATCTCATTATCAGCTAAATACAAGCACCGGATAGCACTAGTCCGAACCTTCAGCATGTTTAGTACATAAACAAATGCTTTGGGAACCCACAAAGACCAAAACACTACTTCAGAGAGTTCTGAAAAGGTGAGATCATGACATTCATTAAGCAAAAGATACTTTTTAAAGCAATTTCATATCATACCACAATATTCTTATACTGATGCCATAAAAACAATTTCAATGTTCAGAAATAATAATTTTTAAAATTGTTAATCTACTTTCATATTTTCGTTTTCAATTCAAATGGTCAAGTCATTGTCAGGTCTGATCTGGTATTCTTGGTCTATTGTAACTCTTATTAATCCTCTTATAACACACACAATTATTTCTCAATTGAACATCAGCAATCAGATCAGTAAGACACAAGTGGGTCTAGTCACGATGTGCAGAAACTGCACTCTTTGCGGGTTTTATTGATGTACACGTAAGCTTCCGTCGCTCGAGTTCATGTGGCTGTACAGGTAACACCACATCGTTGGCTGAGAGGGCGACGTTTTGGTGCCATATCGCAGGCTTCCTTGGGGTAGTTCGTCACTATCCTGAGGAAGCCTGCTATATGACAGGTGAACCGTCGGCCTCTCAGCCAACGACGCAGCGTTACCCGGGCAGCCAAGAAGTTTGGGGATTGATATTTTTCGCAGACAGATTTCGTTGTAATAAAAAAGACAACTCTCAGAAGGAAAAACATAGAAGTGTCTTCAAAAGAATTACCTGGATCCATGTGAAAGGCTGAGAGGTCAAGAGCTTTCAAAGCTTTATCATGACGACGCGCAATACACGCCGCCAAGTGGTCATGAAGATGAAGACGGAGATCTTGCACATGGGTGTGGCGAAGTGTTATTTCCATGTCCAGTGTTTGCACTGATGGCCCAAACTACAACATAAAAAAACTTAACATGAATGTGCATTCCAGACTAACATTGTAGGAAACTATAACAAACTTTCCCCAGAACATGTAGCTTTTTTTATTAAAATACCCCAAATTGAGATAATATAAATGTGACACTAGAATTTTTGTTTATAAAATATTGTTTTACGGTTTTCTGAGTACATAAATCAAGATCAAAGTCTACTAGTGCTGTTTCAAGATAGTAAAGATTGGTGCAGTTGGCGAGGAGATAAATGCAATTTTGTACACTAAAATTGTGAAGTCTGTATGGATGGATTGCAGATTCACGACGGTCATTCCAAAAGTAAAGTTTTACATTAATTTGTATGAAACCTACAGTAAATAAAAAAACAAACTTAATACATTATGTTAGAACAGAGTTTTTTGTACACAACATTATTTTTCAATACAGTCTCCTTTTTTATGAGCATTTTATCCATTTATGAACACGAACCGGCATGCCACAGTGGTAAAAATCTTTACCAGCCAAGGTGACCTGTACGGGGAGTTCTTATGGCAACATTCCACAGACTGTTATTTTATTTCTGGCTCATAATGTTGACATTTCTCGTCATCAGTGATTATTCATTCTGGAAACTGCCACCTTCAGCTTTGTATTGAGTCAAAAGCTCCTTACAAATTTCCATTGGGTGCTGTTTGTGTCCCTGCATGATGCAGGGATGTTAATATGCAGAAAGGAGATGAAGAAATGCAGAAAATTACAGAAGGAGAAGAAAACTCAATAATTACAATAGTGGCAAACTATTTATTGACTTTTGCAGATTTAACAATGGGAGAGTAACAGATTTTTTTTTCAAGCATAAAAAAAAATATACAAACACAATTTTACTTGGTAAGCAAAAGATATGGCATTTATTATAGTGTGTCATAGTAAATGAAATATGCTTTGATAAAGTAAAGAACACAAAAGTTTTCAGAGGAAGTGAACTGGATACTCAGTAGGAACTAAATTTAAATTAAATTTTCAAGAAATCATAAGGAAAAGGAAAGAAATCAAAACAATGCCCAAGGCAGAGAAACCTATCTATTAGAAGTCAGCATCAGACATATGCACAAAAGTCATCTCAAAGAAAAACTACAAAGAATTAACAAACAAAATGTGGGAGGATTCTGGGCCACTTTAAAACAAGCCATTAAAGAAACAGGCGAAGAAACGTTAAGTCTACAAAACAGCAAAAAGGGTTAAGAACCTGAAATAACGAAATAAGGAATTTGTTTAACAAGAAGAGTAAACTTTATCAGGAGTATTTACAGTCAAGTAAAATACATGATTACATAGAATATGGGACATGTAGAGCAGAAACAATAACGTCAACTTAGCAAATTAAAAGAGATGTGAAGTGAGGCAGAAGTTTGTGAAATCGTTTGAGGGACATCAAAGACTCCAAAAATTTTTTAATTTAAAATCATAAGAATGCTCGAAGTTGAGCCAAGCGCCAACATTTGCACAGATCTCATTCCTCAGGAGAAATGGATAGAGCAGAGTAAGACATTATGGAATGTGGCGATATGACAGACCCAATAATGGGTCTGTCACAAAAATCAAAAAACAGTAAAAAATACTGCATATCAAGAAGAGCCCAAAACGGTACTACTGCTAAGATCGGGAAAAGTCCAAGTGTAGATAACATTGCCATGGAACTAAAACAATACAATGGTGAAAAACATTATGATAAAACTGCTCAAAAAATTTCCAATAGAATACACAATTCCAAAAGAATGACAGTTTGGCATGATAATAAATCTGATGAGGAAGGATTGATAACACACTGGAATAACTGAAGAGAGACCAACCAACAGCATCAAAACTCTTAGCCAACATATTAAGAAACAGATTGAATGACTACACTTAAACATTCCTGGCAGAGAAATAAAATAGTCAGAAAAGGAATGAACACGACACCACATTCACAACACAAACAATCCTGGACAGACACAATGAAGTGAATTTGTGACTTACCTAATGTTCATAGACTTTGCAAATGCATATGAATGATATGATAGAACTTTATAGAATTTTTTAGATAAATTGTGTTAACAAGAAAAATACTGGAAGAAGGAAAGATAGTTACAAAAATAAGAAAATGAATCTGAAGTCTCTATTCAGATGAATAAACAAATGAACAATAGAAATGTCAAAATTTTTACTACACAAAACTTCATTTCACAACAAATAGTGGACTAAGTCAGGAATGCAGTTTGTCACTGTGTCTGGTCAATATATCTGCAAACATATCACCAAGGAATGAAAACTTACAATCAAAGGAGAATAATTCTTGGTCAAAGTTATAACATCCAAACAATCCTTTAGGCAGATGATGTAGCTATAATAACAGAATCCAAAGATGACCTACCAACTGCAGCACAAGGATTGTATGAAATATAATATGAAAATTTCCACAGCAAGACAAAACCAATAGCATATCAAGGAAATGAAAGGACACAAATCAAAATTGCCATGAAACAGATCTTCTTCCAACCAGCAGCTAAGTTAACTAACTCTCAAGGACTAATTTATTCAAAACAGAGATGAAAGTTTCGGAAAAAATACTCACTGGACCAGAAGAGTTCACTTGTATCTGCAGGTTAGCCCGAGTCAGCTTCAAGAAAGCAGCCAGACAATTTCGAGCAAAGAAAGTTGCTGAACTTCCCTCCCGTCGATACTGAAATCAATGATAAAAAAAACAACTAAAAATCCTAATATAATTTAAAAAATACATCTATATATTATTGTTCAAGTGAATAACAGATAATTAGTGTTTAAGTCAACATCTAATTTCCTTAGAAACTAACTTCCCTTGATCTCTTCAAATAGTAAAAATACTCACCATGACTGGAGCAATTATTTGGGGCTGTACAACATCAAGCAGGGCGTGCATGATTTCCAGTTTAGAATAACCAGCTCCTCTAAGCACCTGTAAATATGCATAACTTTTCATAATATACAGAAGCCAATATCAATTCCATGAAAAGTGCTAAATAAGTAATAAAAAGTCTCATTTAAGGAGAAATGTTATGACAGCTACTTCATGATGATAATTAGGGCCTGAATATTTATGACCTAAAAATATTGCAAATCCGCAAGTGTTTATGACCAAAAAATATGAATATATGACCATTAATACGACTTAAATTTTTGGTTGCATTTTAAAAACTTTCAAAATCTTTCAGCTGTTTAACTAACCATTATGTTTAAAATATACTTTTAAAATCTACCACATTCACAATTCACACCTCTTTTGGTATCCTGGGAAGACAATTCTACCTGCTAAAGTTATTTAAGGAAGAGGTTGACCTTGGCACAAAACCTATTAAAACTAAACTAACTTCCTTCACATCTGGTGCATTCTACACTTTTCTTTTTTCCTTCCATTCAGCTTACCCTCCTAATTCACATACATATACTATATTTATAGGAAAGACAAACAACAATTAGATACAATTGTAAGAAATTAGATAACAATTAGTATATGTGAAAAATCTCTTTGAGACGACTGCAAGCAAGTATGAGAAAACAGAATCAAAAAGATAAAAATATGACAAAAAATTCATGAAGGAAATATGAAAAATAAATGGAAAATGACAAAAGTTTTAAAAAATGCCAAAATATGACTGTACATGATTGCACATGAAAATTGCTTCATTTTAGTCATAGTACATGAAATCAAGTTTAACTTACATTTTTCATGGAAATATCACAAAGGAAACGTATATGACAATATCCAAGCCCTACTGATTGGTATGCAAAATGGGTTTCATTGTGTAGGTAGTTTCAGCAGGGATACGAATCCTAAAGAATACTGAAAGGAGTTATTGATTGAGGGCCATCCATAAATTACATGGCACAAATATGGAGTATTTTGAATACTCCCTCTTCGCCCTGTAACATGTGCTTGAACCTCCCTAAATAATTATTTAACACTTCTGACAACACTTTTCCTTTGTAAAAGAAAGAAGTGAAAACTAATTATACACAGTAAAAACAATTAGTATTAATTTTACTCATATTTATATTAAAATTAATGATAATTAAAGTAGAAATTAGTTGGTGATGCTGACAGCACCTAACAGTAGGTTTGGGGACAAGTTGTGAGTAAAGGAAGAGGCATGGGCAAGGAAATTTTTTAGCATAAGCCGTGCACACCCCATCATGGATGACACATTAGCAGGAGTCCACTGAGCCAATTGGATTATAGAATATACTACAAATCAGTTTTGAAAATTTTCTTTGTAATTCCATAAAAGTTGTGAAAACATTTTATATTTATTGTAAGAATTTACATCTAATAACTTTAATTTATTTGTGTTTTTAAAGCAAAATTAGTTAATATTTTAATGTTTTAGTACAAAACTTAGGAAAAGGAATTATTTCAGCAAATGTTGAAAAATGTAAAAAAGTAAATATCACTATTATATAACATGAAACTAATACCCCTCTTCTCGTATGTAATGTAGCATAACGCTTCCTCAAATCTCATCCCCCTTTTTAGCATTACGTAATTTATGGATTATTGATCGAGTATTTATGGGCACATTAACTGCTATGTTCATTAGGCCTATAAGTGTGGCCAATGTTTTATCCCAGGAGGTACTAGTGATCCTTTCATGCTGGAGGTGAGATTCGGTGCTAACCCACCTTGGGCCGTGGGGGATTTCCCCTTCCAGGTATCTTCCCCAGTGGGGCACAGGCACGTCCAGGAACAAGCTCCCAGCTCCTGACATGTGTGATAGTCAAGGGCGTGTAAGTTTATGTAAGTAACTTTGGTGAGTAAGGGGAGAGGATATAATATAGACAAGGAAAGACAGATTGTGAGCAATCCATGGCCTATTTGTACAGCTAAGGTACTGCTACAGCATATGCGAGTGATTCTGTGGAAAACTAAGATCAAAGAAGCTGGCCGCTAGAATTCTCTTCCAGGCAGCAGCTGACCTCAACCTAGGTATGTAGCTGGTGTCAAAAATTCTCCACCATGAGGAAGTAAACCCTAGAACCTCCCAATCAAGAGTCGTTGCAGAGACGGTGACAATGCTAGCACTGAGCAAACACAGCTAGTTGAAAGGTATCAAGTAGACAAAAATAAAGTGCACCAGGAAAGTCTGCCCACACTGAGCCAAATCACAGCCTCCTATTAGAAACCACATTGATGTTGATAGTAATCAGATCACAGGGAAACAAGTCAAGGGGACAACACTTCCAGCATCTATATGATTGTGGTGAATACACAATTACATTATCAAGCTGCAGCTTGTGCTACCAATGTACTTTCTGTTGTAAGCACCCTCACCAGCAAAGTGACACTGCCAGAGAGATTTTCCTGTCGTACTATAATAGAAGAACCTTGTTACAAGAGACATCTGGGGACATTGATTTTCACCTATAAAAGGAAAGAACTCTTGTAAAAGGGAAATGCAAAATTTACCTATCATCATCTAAGGTTGCGTTACATTTTTATTGTTCTTACCTGACATACGACGTCATGGTTTTTTAATACTGACAATAACTTGCTTTTTAAAGCCATCACAGAAGCATTAAAAATAAAATTAAACCACCCTCTTTAAAATGAAACAAATGGAGATAATGAACCAGCAACCAGATAATGGACACAAGTCCACAATAGTGAGAAGCTTTATTCAAAGTACACAATGGATCATGATATCACTCAAGCCTTGTCAAATAACACTGTTCCCACTCGCCTGAACTCATGAAAAGAATACTGTGAATGAGCTCTCAATGAGGTCCACACTCCTCAGAGCCTAGCACAAAAGAAGGAACGGGGGAGCAGCAGATTTTCATCTTTCACAGGTGAGCTCTGGTAGATGAGAATCATTTTTAATGCAACCTTTATCAAGGGTGTTTAATCCTACAACACTAAGCATGAGTCAAATCGACTCACACGGTACACATAAGTGAGTATGCATAGTCCACATGAAGCATTGACAAGTCACCTAAGGTTCCGCTGTTTAGTGTCTCTTGAGATCCTGCTTGGGTTGTGTCTCTGCGTCCTGCCTGGTTCGTGCGGCATCATCATCTTCAAAGGTCAGTCAGTGAGCAAAATAACTGATGATTAGCAAGAAGAGACTACTTTAGTGTGAGTCAATCGTACTTATTGTTGGTAAAAGAAGATATTTTTGTGAGTAAGATCTACTCACAGTTGGTAGTAGTGTACTGACAAATACAAATTAAATACAATATTTTTTTGGCTTATTTTATGGTGTTATTTTTTTTTAAAGTTGTTTTTTTGTTTTGCTTTGGTAAAGATGGTTAGCAGACAGACGGATGAGAAAATATTGTTACTGCTTGATGATGAAAATTTAGAAATAAGCAAGAGGATAATGTGGAGGATGAAGATTTTTGACTCATGACAGTGAAGTAGACCCTTATCACAAACAACATTCATTAGAAGAGGTTTATGAAGACTGCAAAAGCTATCCGAAATGCAGAGGTAGAGGTTAGAGAACTTAGGCAAAAAAAGAAGACTGCGTGAGTTCAGCAATACTTAGCACACCATCAACTTTCAGTGTAATATAACTTAAAAATTCAGTTGACCCAGTTGCCTTGTTAGATTCACATTCAAACATTATAACTTTTAAAGGGATTACAGTAAATGGTGAAAATGGTTTTGAATGGAAAACATCCACATTCGTAACAGCAGGAACCAGAATACAGGGCAAAGTATTGTTCATGTTCTAATCAGACCTATTAGAGATCCTAGAAATTGTACTACCCTTGAATACTTTAGTGCTTTCATCACAGAGCCATAGAAGAAGGTACACAATATAAGTGTATAAGAAACACGATAATACATTTGTGGAGAGCATGGGATAAAAATATCACTCATGTATTGTTTAACATGTAATGTGTAAATTGATGACTTATTTATAATTTTCAAAATACATTAGCATATAACGTATTTTACGGAAGAAATCACCAATAAAAGGAATATTAAACACTATTCATTGTCAGTTTCTAATGCTGAGTTGAAATATACGCACCTTATTGGCTGTATTCAAACAGCTTGCTGACTCTTTCAACGCACAGTGCGTCATAACCTAATACTCTGATTTTCTGATACCCTCGCATGGCCTTGAGTAATATGACTAGAGCTTGAGGTTATGACTTTCAAAGCGGGGCATGAATAGCAGCCATGCCTGTACACCTTCCCATGCTCAGAGAATTGGGAGAGAGGGAATTCCCCTATAATGTAGGCCTTGAGTGATAAAAGACCCCAAGGTCGAATTCTACACTGACACCTGAAGCATCTCTCCTTCAATGTCAGGATGCCACAACTAAATTGCATGTCACAGAGAGAGAGAGAGAGTTTAAACCAAACTTGCAGATTACCACTTAACTTCACGGACCAAAGAAATTTTCCAATTAAGGCAGGTTTCTGGCTTGTACAGGTTCCAGTTTAGACAGATTTTACTGAATACTTTTATGAAAAAGAAAATTACTGATTTATGTTGTGATTAAATTTAGGTTACTAAACCTTTTTGGTGGCATTTTTTTCACTAAAAAACATATTTGTAATATTAATACAAGACCAAGTGCTTCAGCCTCTCTATTATGTATAATTCTTTGAGAATCAAAGCAAAAAGTTATTAATGACACTTGTTTAGCTTCGAGTGATTCAATTCAACTCATGGTTAGAATCTATAAATATTATGAGTGTTCTAGTGTTACAAGTAAAACCACGCAAATGGGCTTGCAATGTGAGAAAATATTTCATTTTGACCTCCGAATCTTACACAAGGGGGAATACCAATACCAATTTGAACAAATATTCTCTCGATAATGGGATGAGGAAAACTCTAACAAGTCATTGACCATCTAACGAATGCTCGTATCTCACTTTTAATGTCACTCACACAATCCTAAAGGCGTTGGATACCGGAAACAAATTTTTGCTCCTTTCACATATGATGCTATCAACATGAACTTGGTTTCAGTAAATTGAGTTTAACTGCAACAAATTTAGTTTCTAGTATCCAATTTTTACTAGGATTTTGTTAGTAACATTAGAAGTGAGAAATTACCATTTGGGAGATAGCTGATGAAGCAGAACTTTTACAAACAGGATGAAAATGCCTATAATTTATACATTGAGACCATACAATAAAATACCGACATTATAAAACTGTGGAGACCTTAGTAATTATTTTGTTGCAGCAAAATTTTATTACATTGAAAAAGTCAATCATCAAAATTAACTACCGTATATCCATCGCAGAATCTTCATTACTTCAACATGAATTTACAAATGAAAAAGCTTTGTTAGACGAGACGAATATCAAAAAATTATATACAGTAATTAGAGTTTGTTGTAATTTTTCACCAAAGTTTCAAACTGGTTGAACAATACAATTAAATTATGTAAGCATAAAGTCTTCTGATTGTTTAGAACTTAGTGCTTCTACCCAACCAATAGTATGACTTCTTTCATTTGAGTCCAATCATGTTGGACTCAAGTCCTTATGTTGGAATAATTTGAATTATATTAATATACAATACAAGAAAATGTGTATTGTACTGCAGGATAAAGTTCAGCTCTATTTTAAAACAAAAAGAAATTTAAAAAATTCAATTAGTAAAATTTTAATTTGTTGTAGAAAAAATTCAAATTTCATTAAAATAAACTTATTTTACTTATAATACTTATTTTTCTTATAATAATTGGCAGGGATCTGAAAATAATTACATTGCACTGAATTTTTCATAAGATCGGAGTTTGGTACAATGACATGTAATAGTAAATGGGATTCTCTTAAAATGAGGTCATATTTAATATGTAAATGTGTAATTATGCAACAGCCTGATTCAAAGTTCTTCAGAATATTGTTGCTTATTTACTTATACTTATATTATAATATGATAAAATAAAATTCTACGAGATGATATTTATTAAAATTGTGTATTTTTTGATTTACATTTAATGCAGATGATATCCATTAACTGTGCAAAACTTACTGTAAATTTGTGCCAATAATCTCCAGAAGTTGCAACATTTTTTAGTACTCCACTTGGTAGCCAGGACACCCTATTAAATGTTATAGCACTTCCATTATCAACAATTGTTGACATGTCTGCATTGGAAATCTGTTCTTCTTGCATATCATTAGCCATAAAATGATCCATCATCGGAACTTCTGGAATGACAGGAACAGTCTGAAACGATAGAAAAAAGTTGATAAATTCATAATGACACCAAAACCATTTCAATACTGCTAGACAGCACCATAACCATTTTTTATTACTGCTATCTAGCAGTATTGAAATGGGTATGGTGGCATTTTTTATAAAGAACTATCTAGATAGTTCAACAAACCTACCTTATCATAAACAAAGTTATGGGAAAGGAAATACATAAATAGGCAATAGTGTAGAGAGTAGTAAAAAGACACCAGCCTATTGTCTGATTTAAAAATTAAAACTAGTTATAATGAAGCTTCTGATTGGATAATCATGTCCAGCTAATGTCACAAGTGTGTGTGATGTCACAAGTCACTACATTTAAATCCGACAATTCATAATAATTAGCATTTAGACCCAGGCAAATTTAGTGAACCTAAGAAACAAGTTTCAGGATGCCATATTCTACATTGATTCTTGTTAAAAACTATATTTGCATAAAATATATTTACACACACCAATACTGGTTTAAATTTTAAAATATTAATGAAGCAATTTGGAGAATACAGAGGTAGGTATGAAGGGTTCATTCGTCCTTAAAGTTGAATAATCAGACTGAGAAAATCATGTTCAACCTCTTGGGTAAAAATTTCAAATCATTTTTTTTTTTTGTGAAGAAATTGATTTTTGCTAAATGACACAAATTAGTATAATCCAACTCTGACTTCACTTTTAAGAAAAGATTGTCTGAACAAAGCAGACAAATTTAGTTTTTTAAGCCTTTCGTCAATCAGATGAGAAAATCCACTAAAAGTCTCAGAGGGATGAAAGAAACAGAATTTGGCTCTATTTGCTTGTAAATCAAAAATGTAGAAAGAAATAATGTCCCCCCCCCCCAAAAAAAAACACCAAAGAGCATATTAATATGAAATTCAAAGGATGGCAGCAAATCTATGCTTGCTGAGAAAATTTGTAGGGGCAGAATAAATTTAGTTCACAGAAATTAATTGTATGTTGTTAATTATATGATATATTATTTTAACTTATGTTAAATGAGTTCAGAAAGGAGAAGTTAATTTAACTTATGTTAAATGAATTCAGTTTCATAAACATAAAACTAATTTCTCAGAATTATCATTTCTAATTTTACAGAATTACAAGATAAAAGAAAGGATTGCCAGAAAAATTGATTATTCACTTTATCTGCTGAAAGGAAAGGAACAATAATGGAAGTACTGTTTTAATTGAAAGTGAATTCAGGCAATGGCTAATATGTGAGAAAAAGAGATTTAATATTTATCATTTTGTCTTTTCTCTAAGAAATTTAGATTTGAAGGCAAAATGCTATGAACACAGAATTCTAAAATTGAATTACTTTTTTCAGAAAATTATTATTTCATTATCAGTAGTTCTGCAAAGGAATACTCTTTCAGATATTAATAGTATAATTATTACCAAAATAGTGTTACCCCCGAAACAAAACAAAAATTCTCAAAACTTTAAATAAAATTTTCTGAAATTAATATGTAATGGTGTGGTTTCCACATACTATTCCCTCAAGAAGAGCGAACCACAAAACTCATTTATTATCTTGTACCGGTATGGGACCAGGATTCTGAACAGAATCGATTTCAAAATTCTGTACTGCCAGTGAAGATTCGCCTACGACTGTACGCAGCACTGTATGATCTTGACCTGCCCTTCGTGGCGGTCTTGGGGGCTGATGCTCTTGTACTGGATTTGTCTTCTGCTTCTTTGCTTCGCCACAGACGATGAGATGACGCATGTTGGATTTTCGTTTCTGCACAATTGATATAAAATGTTTAATTTATTTATTTAGAGACTTTATAATGTTCTTGAATCATAGTCACATATTGTCACACAATATTAATCCCAATAAATAGGAACAAAAGTCGCCATCGATTTACAATATGTAAATATGTTTCAAGAAAATTACAAAGTCTGTAAATAAACAGATCATTAATTATAATAACTATATCATAAACAGACATTAACGTATTTTAAATTTAACACAAAACAAATTATGCTCAATCCATGAGTGACTCAAGTCTATTCCACACATAAAAAAAAAGAACCTGTCCTATGAAAGTATAATGGTCGATCATAATAATAAAAACCTGGAAAATTTACATCAATAACTCAAACAATGGAAGGAGAAATGTGTAAGTTGCAACTATTCTCAAATTAACATTCAATAACATGAGTTTTCATTCTTTCAAATTTCACACAAATCAGAATTTCGAGGACTTTTATTCATTCTCAAAAAAAAAAAAAAAAAAAAAAAAAAAAAAAAAAAAAAAAAAAAATCTCAGTTTCCCCATTCTAGGAAAACAAATAACGTTAAATTACCGCTTATTTCTTAAGAAGAGAATGTCATGTTATTGTGTGCAGGAAAACGGCGAACTTTCGACAGAAAAACTTTAATTGACGGGCCCTGGTAACGAAAAAGTGGATAATTCCTATTGCTATTTATAGTAAATTACTTCCTCTAACACATGGCGTAGCCAGAATTCTTTTTTGCGGGTTCTTGATACCGAAACGTCGATGGCTGGCAAAACGTCAATTTGTCCGTCCGTCTGTAGTCAACGCTAGCGCCTAAACCGTTCAGCCGAATTTCTCCATATTTGTTATTCCCCGATCTTAGCGAATTCGAGGAGTTCGGCAGTTTCAACCGCATATTTTGTTTTTTGACGGTACTTTACATAAAGCCTCAAAAACATTTTCAAAATTTCTAAAAAATGCGTCAAGGTTTTTAATTAAACTTTTTCCTCCGATTGGGTAAAGGAAGCTTGAAAGAATTGTGCAGGTCTCATATCGTTGAAATCCCAGATTTTTTAAAATTGCAACAGTGCAATTCCTACAACTATAATACTGAAGATGAGATACTTTTCCTTAATGAAATCTGTTGTTTAAAGACATCTTGAAATAACGCCATGTTCAATTTTTCGAAAACGTGAACTTTAGAAATGAATGAAATAGTTTTCGTGTAATTCTGCACTAAATATAGGGAATTTTTAATTTTTTTTTCAACATTCCCTTCGCCCATAAAAAAAGAAACAAATTGTTTCTTTAAATATTCTCCTTGAATGTATCAAGGGACGATAAAACACATTGTGCTAGCCCCATTTTATGCAAATATTGTATTTTCGAAAATTGCAATGATTTGAAGTAATCATTTGAAAATTACAAAATTGGAGATTTTTGTCTTAGACTAAGTCATTTCCAAAATATCAGCTCTTTAGAAAATGTCATGAGCAATTTTTTGAGGAAAAAAGAAAACCTGGAAGCTTTTGCTTAATTTTGGCTTGAGATTAATGCAATTTATTATAAAAATTAACATTTTCTCAAAAACTGCTCCAAATTTTTTCCACATGATGAAAAAGGGCCACTAAAAAAAAAAATGCAGGTCTCATTTGCATTGAACTCTCTTCATTTTCAAAAAGTGCAAATTTAGAATTATTGCGAGAGTTTGTGCTGTTGGGGCATTACTAGTTAATTTGTTACATGAACTCCTCACAGGAGATGAGACTCCTAAACCTGATCACAACAAATCAAAGTGTATTTGTACTCAGGAGGGACATTTTAATGTTCCCTCTTGAAAACCAATGTCATTGACAAGCATTCCATGAGCTGACAGAAATTCAATATCCATTAATGTTTTGTGACTGAGTTAATTCTTTACTCTATGAATGATGTAAATGTGAACTTTTAAAGGAATTTCTTTTCCCTTTTCCCCCCTCTGCACTTACATTTCTCTTCAACACATGTAGGGTTCCAAAAGATTCTTTCAAAATATTATGTCTCAAAAAGCATGATTGTATATAAAGAATGTGCAATTGGCTTAATCATTAAAAAAAATGCATTCCACTAAAATATATTGTTCTACACTGGATATGCAAATAAAATGTTCATTATTGAAAAAAAAAAAAAAATTCAAGTAAGGGAGCCAAATAAAATATTGTTTTAATACTAACTGCTAACTAGAGGTTCATTTCATATATGATGTTATAGTATAATTTCTGATCTGAAAGTATAAAAAAATTCATAAAGGTCTCTCAGTGTATCTTTATAATTATTGTTATGGCATCCAGAAAATGTTTATTCATTCAAGAAGATTTAATATGTCATTACTGGTTTAATATTACTAAATCACATGAGTTCAATTTATTTTGTACAGATGCATGAAACTAGAAGAGACATCAGTTAAATTATCTACAAGCTTTAATGCATTACTGTTTTGCAGGAGTTGATTCAACAGATTATTTCAAGCAATTTAATAAAGAGAAAATCTTAAATGAAAAAGTACTTTATTACTAGAACTAGGATTTAAATACAATAACATATACCTAAATATATATGGACTAAAAATGTTCAAAATATGGGGCAAAATACACACATAAAATGTTGAAATATGCAATAAGGGAGTTTTCGTTACATATGAATTATATTCATAATTATGATCAAATATGGATAATTAAAGACGTTTCAAATCACTTCAAAACACCTAATTTGTAAAAATGTTGGTTTGTAACACATAAACAAACAAATATGCAATTACAAACAAATCCTAGACAGGTTGTAACATAAACTACATACTAATCATAAATATGCAGAATATAACACACTAGGGTTCAAGAAATATTCATAATTCACTACATTTTACTAGGCAAATAAACTTAAAATATGTCAATCTTATCAATGACTCCAACAATTTACTAAATGGCAAATTTCTATATGTTTTATCTGATAAATCTATGAAACAAATAACAACACATTTAACATAACCTGAATACTACTAAATTTGAAAACTCACTATTCAATGGTTTCAAAAACTATATGACAGGTAGAATGGAAAAACTATCGGCGTCTAATTTTGATTACATTTTAGATTTTGATGCTTTACTATACTAGGGATACTATACTCTGGCTCATTGAAACAAGAATAAATCCATCATAGTGCTGCAATGGAAGAGAAGCATATAAGGGGAAAAAACAATCTAGATTCTTCCTGAAAATTAAAAAAAAAACATTTAAGTTGCTGCTCATTTTTACTGAAAGTGCAATATACTTAAAATATTATATTTCTTGAGAAATAATAAACGAACATTTTATATCTACATATATTACTTTTAATTATGTTGACAAGGATTTTGTTTTGAGTGGTTGCTATCCTGATAGTAATGATGATTATCTTTCAGTTCATTGTTGAGGTTTTTGTTTCTTATGTACTACAGTCCATTGGCATTCAGAAACAAAATTAAAAGAGGTGAAATAGATTTATAATCATTACAGTAAAGAGGCGTCAGTTTCCTAGTGGATAAAACTGTATACTTAAATTTGGTGAACAGTGATGAAAATGTGATTATTCATCCAAGTAAAACATACAAAAGAACTTAAAAATATTCAATTGAAGATACTATCAAATATATTAAAGATATGAGAAAAAAACCGTGAGACTTAATTCCACTTACATAGGCTGAGTATCATGAGCTATCAAATGACACAAAATGATTCTGTTGAGACACTGTCCATCTACACTATCCAGGACTACCACACAGTCAAATATTAGTTATATACATAGTAGTAGTAGTAATAATAATAGTAATAATAATAATAGTAATAATAATAATAATAATAATAAATACATAAGCTTCATATCAGTTTTAATTTCCATAACAGCAAATTCACAATCTACAGTAATGAAAAGTGCAAGATGGGAGTGAACTAAAGTCTGGTTTTGTGGGCAACAAAGTGCAGTTTCTGAGTTTCTAACTCATTTAATTGACTTCATAATATTTCTACAATAGCAATAGTATAGACAGTTGGAAGGTTTGAATAGGAACGTTGACAATGCAAGTACAAAAAATTAGGCTTTCTGGTGCATTATATTGCCTTTTAAAAATTTGAATTAAAGTCCTGTGAAATGTATAAAAGTGGACTTTGATTATTTTCCCCCGTACTTTGATTTGCCATAAAGTTGTATATAAATGCATCCAACACCACATAAAGAATTACATCACTACAAAAAATATATGCATGAAAATTGACTGAAAATACTAAAAATTTTCTGTAAAATAATGTACTTTAATATTTACAATCATGAATGCAATGTAACAAAACCGAAATAATTTTATTTTATATACTTAAATTTCAATAAGTGTTCAATCACATTAATTTGAATTCTTTGTATATATCAACAGTAGAGATGTCTCCCTAATTTTAAGAATATATTTGCACCATAACTACTGAAATATTTCACTTACATATTCTAAAAGATGGAATACATCTCAACTTTATATTTCTTTATAAACTTATTAATTATACCATTGATAGTCTGTTTTTGTCTCACAACTAGTGCTTAGAATCTTGACAAGGCCCTCTAAGCCCTTTAGTGTTGAGAAATTACTCTCCCAACTACACATCAAATAAGTGGGTTTTTGGGACTTGTAAAAATAAACAATATGGATATAGATCAATTTAATCAGAAGTATACAGCCTTCATTGAGATTCTGAGAATGTCTATTTTTCATTTCTGAGTTTGATGCTTAGCTGATTGAGAGGGTCCTACATAAATTGCTTCCTAATCTATGTAATTACATCTACATTTACCTTTAATTTTGTAGTTTTATTTATATTGTAATTTTCGCGCCACCTCTAAAATTAAATATTTTTAACCTTTTGTATTTAGATAGAAATGAATCTACATAGTAAATAAATAGAACAAAAATAAGTACTTGGGGCCTACCTTAAGTATTGAATAAAAAACGCATGTCTTTCCAGTAGTTTTGATTATAAGACGCTTAACACAGAACGCATAACCTCACTAATATGACAACCTACCATGCATAACAATACCTTACGGAAATGCGGGAGCCAATCCTACAGAATATTATAAAACCAACCTATATGAATTTTATACCGTTTATATTAGCATGTTGAAGGTGATATTCATTCATCGACATGAAAAACACCCAGAAGAACTTCAAGTAAGAACACCAATTAAAAATATATCTATCAAGTGGTCAACACCGATGCACACAAACAAACACATATATAGTACGGTTTATTTTAGTCGTGCACTTGACATAAATCAGCTGTTGCTGTTTCATCCAATAGGGATGCGAGCTGCAATGTCACACTTTGGGGACAGATATGTCGCTATAATGATATACTGTAGGGGCGTTCAATCTTTCGATTGGATGAAATCGTGAACATCTGATTTACGTCAAGTGCATTGTATAAATAAATCCTAGAATAAGAACCATCATATTGCAAGGCATAATATTATATCCGCACGTTTTCTTCAGCTCCGGAATATGTAGCCCCACTCATTTCCCAACATTAGTTGAATTAAGAATAAATGATAGCAACGAGCGTTGTAGACAAAATCTGGTAACGAGAAAGTTTCTAATTCATGGGAGCGAACATATTTTGCATGGAAAAATGAACTTCAAATTTGACATAAAATTCCTTTTGTCCAAATTACTAATTTCCCCACTCCTCTCCCATCTAGCGAAGCGAGGGCTCGAGAAAACGTGCGCGGATAATAATCCCCTTGCAGCATGATTTACATTTCTGGCATAGTGACTACACACGGCCCATAGAACAGTAGGCCGTGGACTATTCATACCGGGTCTTTAATTCGAAACCTATGTCTGCAAACACCACCCAGACAATTTGGCAGTTTGGCAATGCGTGAAAATTATTAAAAAAAAACAAAAACAAAAAACATTCGCCATTCCTTTCACTTTAAGCGACTCCCGGCCGCATCCTCTTAAATTTAGGGTTGGGAGACTGTGGCTATAATCTTGGTTGGAAGAAAGAGAAAGTACTTATTCTGTCTTTGTTACTCTTCAACGTGATGCAACCACTACCTGAATAGAGTATACCAAGGATAACTGGTTCAATACAATAACAGCGGGAAATAAGTTACAATGAAATCGAATTATCATGTTTAATAAAAGAGAGTCAATATATATTTATTTCTTTCCTCTAGCAATAATTCGTTTTCTCAGTGTTCACATAGCACTCTTTTTTATCAGTTCGGGGTACATTGTTTTTACAGGATAATGGAGATAATTACGCAAAATAGAAACGTGTTCATAAATATAATAATTATAATATGACACCAACGACAACGACAATTTCAGCAAAATTACGCGAAAAAAGTACACAAATTGTCGAAAAAATGCTACAGACCTTATTTCCAAAAAAATATATTTAATGACTGATTCATTTATAGGAAAAAATCTTTCTTCATAATGTAGTTTTAGGAAGACGGCGAGAAATTTTGGAACTTTGCAATTTTAGAAAAATCAGTGTTTTTACAAATGTGTCCTGCACCATCTTTGTTAAATACACTCCTTCCATTATCTAACCACAAAATGTAATAAAAAACGATGAACCATTTTCTGGAAAAGTGAAAAGACTCATATAATACCCCCAAAATTGACAAATATCTGTCTTCAAATCAAGGGACCGCGACATCATCCAGATCAATTGAGGAATATCATTTTGAAGAAAATCGCCTGAACGTTTAGCGTTGTTTACATACAGACAGACTTTTGCCGTCAATCAATTTTTTCAGTATCATGAACCCGAAAACATATTTCTCGCCTGCCAACACGTTTAGAAGATTTTTCTAAATTATTAACTGAATTATTAATGAATGAGTGAAATGAATGATGAGTTATTCAAGTGAGACCATTCACAACTCCTTAACGTTAACTAGACGTAAATTCGTAAACTTAAGATAGTTCACCCAAAGACCAAGTTTTATCGTCCAAGTTTATGTCGGAATTCCACAAGAACTTGTGATCGTGACTGGTAATTCAAAATACTCGTGAGTCTTGTACAAGATAATCCTTGTTCCATATGAAAACGAAATTCGTCACTAAACAACAGCACTCGCGCAATACTGGAGAGACGCGGTATTAGAAAAGTCTAGAAAAAGCTAAAATAAACTCGCATCAAGCTTCAATACGCTGGATTTTTATGGCGCAATTGAAACTTCCGTCCGTCGTCGTGGAATGCTCGTTTTTTACGTGATTTTTTACCGTACCGTTTAACGGCATAACTTACGGTTACGTTCGCGTGTGAATGAGGCCTAACGATAGCGCTTGCGAGCGTGGGGCCGTTAGTGAGTTGGTGCTCTGGTGCGGTGGCGTCGCCTGCCGCCCGCTTCGTGCTACCCGTGCGCTGGCGTCCCTCAGCAAGTGCGTGCCCGAAGCGGCGCCAGACGCAGGGTTTTGTGTAGGTTGCGCTGGCGAGATCTCTTTTCATCGCAAAATGTCTGTCGAGGACGACTCCGTTTCTCGTGTAGAAGGATTCGCGTCGTGGGTACTGCTACGTTCCGAAAATGCAGTATTTCTTTTTTAAAAAAACTTGAAGGCGGACGTGTATTTCAAAAACTAGTAAGATTATATTAGTTTGACATTGTACATTATGTTCACTTTCAAGCATTTTTTTAAAAAATTTTATCCAGGAAATGTTAATACAGGAAAAGATATATTGGTAATTTAATTGCTTTTAATCTGCGTATTTCAAAAGTTTCAGTAGGGGGAAAAGGAGGAAGAAATTTGGTAACTCAAGATAAATTTATAAAAAAACAGGAAAATTAAATCTTTTTTTGCCAAAATACGTAAAGAATACGGACGATAACGATCAAAAACGTTAACAGGAGTTACTGTAAATAGGACCAGTTTGACAGGTGGAAACAAAATGAACATCATGCAGGGCGATACATTGTAAGATATAAGTGATGACGCCATTTCAAATGAGCACACTGTAAACAACGCACTGACAAATGAGTGCCTGGTCGTAACTTGTAGTTATATTGTAACCAGCAGTGTCAAAGCGGTCCCTTCTCATAGTAATTCCCCCTAGACCAGTAGAAATGGATCAGCGTGGTAAATGAGATGATGCCAAAAGGTTATCAATGTTAGCGGCTCTTACATCTATAATCCGCAGTGATTAAGTGCGTTCGATCAAATTTCCCTACTTTTCAGCGCAGAATTTAAACCTGTATCGTTCTTTTGAGTTTTGTAGATGTATTTATTCGCAATTACGAATACTAAATATGCATGAGTGTTTTCAAAATTCTTTATATAATCCCCTCCAAGTAGTCATTCTTTGCTCAAAATTGTTATGTGAGCAGCCTGTGATAATGTATATTTAAGATTCCTGTGACGCCTTCAGTACCATTGTTCGGCGGATTAACGATAACTAAAGACAAATATCCCATAGTCCAGTCCAAACCATACGTTTGCAGCCTGAATTCACTTATTCGTTTTATATATATTATATATTATATATATATATATATATATATATATTATATATATATATATATATACTATATATATATATATATATTCCAGCTGCCCTCTCTTCGTTACATCTAGTCACATCAGTCGATACCCCTGTATTTGAAGCGGCCGGAAAAATACATAAAGACGTCGCTAAATGACTCGTTCTCAGGTACTTTCCAATCGTTGACACTCCTGCTCAATTTTTGTCAGCCTAGATAATATCAGAATTGGGGAAGCATTTCCTTGTTGGGCGGTATACTTGTCATCGTTATTTAGAATAACTAGGTCGCTTCTTGTGACAAACTCGCAAGCAATGGCTCCTCTATTACTGACCTAGTCTCCACCCCATTCTAAAGATTTACTATTGAAGTCCCCTCCTATTAAGAACTTAGCCCTTTGCTGACATTAGACTAGCATCAAGCTCAACAATTACCCCTTCAAATGTATCGTTCTTGTCATTATTATATTAATTATTATTATTATTATTATTATTATTATATATTATTATATTATTATTTTGTTTATTCTCAAAGTGTTTGGTTTCACAATGGATACCACACAGATACAATATCAGAGCATGGTAACACAGACATACTACAATCTACAAAATAAATTCAGGAATTTCTACACATAACATAAAATAACTGTTTCAGATTGTAAACATAGAATAATAGTTTTTCAAATGCTAATAACAAATACAATTTCAAGAATAGCTTCAAAACCCAGCATGTCCTCCCATAAATTCCTGATAGTGAGCAGGTGCTGATTATAACAGACTTCTGTAGGCCGATGATGATGCTCTTCTCGAAGGAGAAGTTCTTCCAGCGATCTGCAGAGAGTTTTTGTATACGCCAGTTGCTGATAGTACAATTGGGTGGTTTTCACTTCTGACACCCGCCATTGTTCTTTAACGGCAAATACTAGTTCTCGTATTTGTCGATTTTAGTCTGGTATGTTGTCATCATGTGCTGGTTATTAACGACTGCAACATCAATAAACCAAAACTTTCTTTGCAGATTTGCCCAAAGAGTAATATCAGTAATTATTATTATATTATTATTATTATTATTATTATTATTATTATTATTATTATTATTATTATTTTATTATTTTATTGTATTGTTATTGTTGTTGTTGTGGTTGTGTTGTGGTTGGTGGTTGGTCG